TGCACACCACGGGCAGTGGTTACCCCCCCCCCGTGTTTTCATTGCAGCCGTTGTATCACCGATGAGTGGGAAATAAATAAGCTGCAACACCTGAGTGCCGCAAAAGAGTCCTTGCACTCGGTACCAATGAATTATCTGAGGCAATGTACGTGGGATCACTGCGGTTGCTTGATGTCCATTCGACACCTTAAAACCACAGTGGCATCGCGCTTGACCAACAGACTCTGACCTCTGTGCCTGTGCAGCAAGGGTTCTCGATCCAGACATTGTGGAATGACTTCAAGCAAGAGGAAATACGTCACGAGCTTTCAGGTGTGTATTCGCCGTCAGACTGCGTGCTTCCAACAGAGGAGAATGTGTCGACCCCGTCTATTATAACTTCCGCTTGTTTCAGACCAGCCTCCAAGTTTATTGTCACGAAAAATGCCATCTTCTGTTTGGAAAGATGATGACGTCATATATAACTTGTTACGGATGAGATGAAAACTTTATTCATTTCTTAAATTGACCCATCTTTCAATGAACCAATTTCCTCACGCCTTACCAAGGATGAATATTAGCAGTGGTCTCAAAACGTTTTGGTCTACGTTTGCAGCGACAGTTCCGTTCTTAGACTGAACATGGGGTGGGGTATCTCTAGATCATGCGTATAATCGCTTCGTTAGATTCATCGCAAGCGTTCATGATCACCTAAACAATACCTGCACTACATCTGATTTCATAAGATCTAATGTTCCAGTGGGTGGCAGCTCCCACCCAATGACGAAAACGCCGCGGTTTGACTCCCACTGGAAAAAGACTGAAAACGTCAGCTTTACCTATCCGTTACTTCAGAAAGCATATCCCACGCAAAGAGTATAAATCGCATTTATTAATAATTATGTTTGGTGTACTTTTACATAATATTTTATATAAAGATCCAGACGTGAAGATCTACGTTTGGTGCATCACTGTCTTAGTTTTAGATGCTACCTTGCAAATAACAACCTTAGTGGTTTGTGAATGATTGCAGCGGACCTTTCTTGAGATACCTCAATGCCGACGAGTCATGCCGAGAGCAACGGACTGAAAAGTAAAGCCACAGCGTGCACATCAAGTTTACTCCCTCTGTCATCTTGTCACGGTTAATCACCCGTTAGCTTGTCGTACTGCTGCACTGCTGTCATGAGAATAGCCGGAACGCTTCTTACCTGAATATCGACCACTTTTTCTCGGCGATAAAACTTTTGCACTATGAGGTACGCCTGGTAGGAAAACGCGCCAATGCACGCCAGGCAGATGAGGAACCAAAATAGCTTGCCTCCGGCCGTAAGCGACTTTCGAATCAACGGTACACCGTGAGCCGAGGTATTAAGCGAGAACTCAGACAAGTACCATTTCAGATGCTTGCTTGTGGAGCCCTTGTTCGACGCGTAGCAGAGGCTCGAGTCCAGGCGAATCATGGCGCTACGTGTCGAGACCGGACGACGCCGTCGAAGG